TTCCTGTGGCCCCACCACTGAGAAGCCACCTCCTCTATATCACAACCTAAAGTGTGTGTGTTTTAAGGTAATGGAAATAAAAATATATTTGATGCTCTCTTGGGCACCATAACACTCGTTTTTAGTCTCTCAACGCCAGCACTTTTAGCCAACAATCCGAAATTTTAAAAAAAGATGCGTTGTGGGAACGACATGTATTTGCTTCTAACGCGTGCGTCATTGTTGGTGGACGCATGGAAGCTAAGTGGCGTACACGGCCGTGTGCAGTGGAAGTCGCGAGACTGACTATCCGCAGTCAAGCCATGCACCGCGCGTGACGACGAGGCGTAAGCAGAGGAGTCCCCCGGTCCCAAACCAAAACAAGTATGGGTCAAAGAAGACGTCCTGGACCGCTTCCAGCGAGCTCGCCCTCCGGAGAGCCTCCAAAATAAACGCGTGTTCGGCGAAGCGATGAAAAAATAAATGCGATCCAGGCCATTAGTCAGGCTGCCTCGGGGATCTCCCTCCTCGCTTACCGGCCGATGCTGGACACGCAGTGGTGCGCTGGTTCGATGATCGTTGCCACATAACGTGACAATGAAGCGAAGGCTGGCAACTTGCATGACCGCTGATATATAGGCTTGAGAAAAAAAGCAACGGGACTTCGTTTTCTGCTGGACGCGATTCGAAAAGTGCCAACGTATACCTTTGCTGTCGCGTGCTTTGTTTCTCTTTATAGCGTGTGTGATAATGTTGCGAATTTTTGCGTACCTAGAAGGCCTCTTCGGATCCGTCACCTTCTGTTTGCTCGGATTTGAAGCGTACGATGAACTGCAATGTGCTGTATAGCATGCAGCGCAAGCAGGCTCATGTCGCTCAGCCTTCAATTTCCACGGCGGTTCGCAACGGTGAACGTGATGAAAGAAAATTGGATCAAAATATAGCTTGCTGTGCGCAAGGACCGAATCTGCGACCTTCGAATAATGAATTTAATCCTCTACCGATTGAGCTATATTACGGCGGTTATCCCTCGTGCCTCCATGACTTTCACATCTGCAGCAATTTGTGTTTGGTCTTACTTGTCGAGGGCGCTTATTTTTTGTTGTTTCTTTACCACACCTTGCTATCTGTTGTACTTCTAAAACATCGAAACTTATATAGAATAGTAGCGGGAACGTCATCTCAAAAATGTGATAATTGCATATTACCACTGGATTCGTTCGCTGCTTGCCGAATTCATTCTCTTGATATTCTGTTGTTGTTCTTCTAATCAAGAAAGCACCCTAAAATCACATTGCCGGTAATATGGCATTCCTCAGTTGGTGCTTGTGAAAAGCCACAATTTTTTTCGTCTGCTCATTCTACTTTGTGCCTTTAGGTGAGCTGAACAAGCTTCGCGCATAATGCAATGCAAGCAAAACTGTAAGATCAAGCGCGTCTCCGAAAATGTCTTTCATATTACTGAGAAACTTGTACTTGGGCTCCCACTGTAATACTTGTCCAACATGACACCAGGCGTTTCGTGCGATTACGCCCAGCCAGCAATGTGAAGAGCGTACGTGTGTGCCTTAAATATATTCACAATTTTGCACATATTTATTTGCCCAATGTGCTACCCGACATTTATTTACTTAATATAATATGATAGCGCTTCCCTGCTATGTAAACAACATAAATGGAAGGGCCACCGAAGCGCGAAAAATTGCACTCTTCGCCGAAAGTCTGCTTTCCATATAATCATGTACTTTTCGGTACAGTCTCTCTCGGGGTGATCGTATTTCAACGACCGCCATGTTGGGTGTACAGTCGCGCCACCTATAGGTCGTCAAAGTTGCGAATACTTTCCTTGGCATGATTGTCTGTTAGATCTTATTAATATTGTGTCTATCAAAGAAACTTCACTCGTGCTTAATCCTAGTTATTCACTCGTAGTACTTCAAAAAAATAATTAAAAAGATTACGGCATATTCACGGGGTGAATGATGATGAATGGGCGAAGCTCCGGAGGGATTCATCGGTAAACTATGAATCTTCCGTGTAATTCGCCCAGTCGATCATCATGTAAAGACGTGAGAAACGCTGTGTGTGTATATACACAAATCAACTTTTATTTGTTCTTAGACGATGGATGGCTTGCGATGTCCCTTGCCTCGCGCGCTCGCACATCGGGATTCTGTCTGCGAGCGCGCGCTGCTGCCGCCTTGCGCTCTCTCCGCGGTGCAGTCTTATCCATCCGGCGACTCCAAGCGCGCGCCAACAGCGAACGGATTTTATTACAACGCTCCCCCTAGCGTACGTCGCCGCACTAAATCGAACGATTGCCTTCAACCAATGACACGCGCCATATGTGACATCATTCCTATTTTATAAGATCTCGCGTCTTTCATCAACTACAAGTACCGCTTTCTAGTTTATAACATTTTGCATCTTTTCATCATCAGCTACAAGTACCACCATCTAGTAAACACTACAAGAACTAAACGAGAGGTGGCTACATACAGGAGACGGTACCGCCATCTAGTGAACACTGCAAGAACTAAACTAGAGGTGGCTACATACAGGGGACGGTACCGCCATCTAGTGAACACTGCAAGAACTAAACTAGAGGTGGCTACATACAGGCTACAGGGGACGCACAGCCCACGCCCTAAGGAGCTTCGCCCCTAAAACAGCTTTTCAAACGTTGTTTTGGGAGAAATCCAAGCAGAAATGACACGAGCGAACGCAGCACCGTCAGCGGCGGCTGCCGCGCATTCAGCTGGCTGTGCACAAAAACGAGACACGTTGGGGCATACAGACTCAATGCTGGTGCACCTTCTTCTGCTTCCAATGTTCTCGGCGATCCAAAGCAGGCTCTAGATGAACGCGTCCTCATTGAGGCCGTGAAGCTCCGTCGTGCTACACGGGTTTATGCGAGCCAGCGCGACGCCTTCGCCGTCATGTTGAATCTGTGGCTGGCTGTTGACACCGTGTGATTTTAGCCAGTGGAGCCAAATCCGTGCAGCGGAAAGAACACCCCTTTTCATCATCATCATCATTATCAGCCTGACTACGTCCACTGCAGGACAAAGGCCTCTCCCATGTTCCGCCAGTTAACCCGGTCTTGTGCTTGCTGCTGCCAATTTATACCCGCAAACTTCTTAATCTCATCTGCCCACCTAACCTTCTGTCTCCCCCTAACCCGCTTGCCTTCTCTGGGAATCCAGTTAGTTACCCTTAACGACCAGCGGTTATGCTGTCTACGCGCTACATGCCCGGCCCATGTCCATTTCTTCTTCTTGATTTCAGCCATGATATCCTTAACCCCCGTTTGTTCCCTAGTCCACTCTGCTCTCTTCTTGTCTCTTAAGGTTACACCTACCATTTTTTATTTCCATTGCTCGCTGCGTCGTCCTCAATTTAAGCCGAACCCTCTTTGTAGGCCTCCAGGTTTCTGCTCCGTAGCTAAGTACCCGTTTTTCACTAGGCAGCAAAGTCGGTCTCGGACCGATTTCTTTGCGCCGGCCACTTAGGCGGAGAAGCGACAGAATTTACGGTGAGTTCTGCTGCTTTCGCTTCCTTCGAGGTTGAGTGGGGCAACGCTTCGTCTTCTTGTGAAACGGGATACACCAAATTGAGCGCGCAAGTCACGATACTCACGGCGTTCACTTTCTAATGTAAACCGGGTATGCGTCTATGTAATTCATGATTAGACAGTTCTTTCTGAAGAGTGAGTGATGCAACTGGTGCACCTGATCACACTGCCGGCACCAAAATTCAGAGGTGCGCGCCGCCCAAGTAGAAGCATTTGTTTCAACTTACCGCAAAACCAAAACACCTAAACGGCTGCGCTCAGAATGCTCAATAAGCAGTGTCATAGTCGTAAGTGAATTTTGTAACAATAAATAAAAATTATTTAAATAACTAAATGAACAAAAGTAACAAATATACCATCCTTCAAGATTCAAGTGCATGCTAATGTATCGGAATTGTGCAAACCATAAAGATGGATGATTTTTTTTTGTACGATGTAATCGACATTTCATATAGCCTAGATTTCCCTTTGAAATGGGGATAACATTTAAGGTACTTTACTGCAATATCTGTAATCGTGCTCTTTCTAATACATATTGTATTCCATTGATTTTCGTGCTACTTTTGACTGTCTTGCACTATCTGATCGCACATATTTTGTGCACTGAAATAAATAAATACATAATGGGAACCGCTCGCGTCTCGACAGCTGAAAACGGCGTTTAAACCACTAAACGACATTTCAGTTTGTTTTCTCGCACAAGGGGTCACGCAAAACCGCTCTGTCCTAGTGAAAAAGCCGTGGACACCTCAGCGAAGTCTTGCAGCAGCCGTTGAGAGGAAGCTTACAAGTGGAGCCCGGTTCTTCTCTCTGCCACCGTTTGACATCCAACAGCAGATAGCGTACTATTGGTGGATAGCTGTCGCAAATCAAGAATTGCGTCAGGGTCAGATTCTTGCTGCAGGCGCATTGAATTCTCTAGCATGCAGTTCCTCCGTTCTTTCTCTTCAAGGCAGATGCTCGTAAAGTTAGTTCGCGAGTGCTTTTGCGGCCTGCTTGGTCTAAATAAATATAGAGTCAGAATGAAGGAAGTTTCGAAAGGACACAATGAAGTATTGCACATTAGGTAAGCGTGCTGCAAAATGAGACAAAAAAAGTCACCTTTTATCGACTACATTCATTCATATTCGCGCCCCGATACAAAAGTTTGAATGAACCTGAGCATTGTGCCATGGTTATACAAGTATTTCGAAGTCATCGCAACTGCGTGACTGGCAGTTGACGCGATGAGGTGCGTGGGCGATTTCTTTTTGAGCGTCTTGGTGTCGTTTCACGTGCTAACCACCTGTGGGCCTCCTCTGTCTCGCCTCATCTTTCAGCAATGTTCTCTTTCGGGTTGAAGGGTGCTTGCACGTTACATCTCAAATGGTTTTGGCCTTCGTGTGCTTGACGAACTTGACGAGCCTGTCGTTGTTATTACATTGTTCTCCCTCTTTCTTATATGCAGCCCAAATTGAGATTATCCCATGCAAAGTCTGCGGCGACAAATCTTCTGGAGTCCACTACGGCGTTATCACGTGTGAAGGCTGCAAGGTAAGTCTCGCACTTCTGATGTTCACTGAGCCATCCCAATGAAATCGTTTAGCCAATGAAATCAGAGAAATAAATACGGAAAATTTCTTTTGTTCTACCCTGATTGGGCTGTTCGCAATACGTCATAAGCTGAACTCTGAATTGCCTCTCTAATTGCTGAAATAAGTTTAAACATACAGAAGGCAACTTGAATTCTGTCCTGTATGTTCTACTAGCATAGCTGTCATCGCCCTTGCTTGTAATATAAACGATACTCGCAACATTGCGGCTACGATTCTAAAGTCTGCCTTTCGAACTCATCATGACAGGGATGCTCGCTAATCATTTTTCATCTTCGAATTCACTGAAATGTCGGGTAGTTTGAGAGGGCGCAGCGTTGTTCATCTGTAACTGTTCTCAAGCTTGCTGCTTGTACTGCCATTAATATTTTTGCTTGTGTTATAGATAGAACATGGGATCCCTGTGACATCTTTTATTGTGGCACTTGCTTTCGTTATTTCTCCTCTCTTTGAATGCGCTCACTTGCTGTTATTCTGTCGAAGGCCGAACGTTAAAAAGCCACCTTATTTTCGATGGAGCTGTTCAAGCTTGTAATAAGGCCAGCATGGCAGAAAACTCGACGGGTATTAGAACGTCCGATTGCACAACAGAAGGCGGGTCAAGCAGCTCCTAGCATAACCATCTACACCAATGTATGAAAATCACAGCATACCCCCGTAGTGAGTGTGGTGAGTGGGGCGAAGCGCTGGAGGGTCTTGTTGTCCATCTATTGTTAGAGGCGCATACCAACTATGGGGGATTGGCCAAGAATCGAGTGGTTTTAAAAATTACTGTTCAGATTTGGAATAATGGAGGTATAACAAAGCTTACCGATAGCCTAGGAAAGTGTGGTAATTAATGTAATGCATACAAATATTTACATTAACGAATTTATTCTTAGAATAGAGCAATAATCTGATTTTATATGTATATAATTATGTGGACAGTTAGGATAATGAAACTGGTTAATTAGTCAACCTATTAGTTTCATCAATGTAGTCCCGGACGGCCGCGCATACTGTCGCATTAGAGAAACCAGAAATGGAAGCTCCAAAAGATAAAATGACAGGCACAGATAAGTCTATAGCAATACCACGTAAAGGTATTTCTAAAAGGTTTTTTTGTAATGTGTTAAACCGCCTGCAGGTCAAAAAGAAATGATCTATTGTTTCCAGTTCATCACAGGACGCGCACAGTGGCGAAGGTGCCTGAGCAGACCTCTGTTTATAGAAATTTAGATTTGGTACCCGGCAACGCAGCCTCGTGATAGCTACTTCTTGTTTTCGAGTGCGGCAAAAGCCTCTTCGCCAGAGATATAATAAATGGCGATATTCTGTAGAGTTTGTTAGGGCTGAACATTTAAAGACTTCCATAAGCGTACGTCTGCGGAATCGAGCAGCAGTCACATAAGCGGATGATGGACAGAGCGGTAGAATTGGTTCGCTGATCGACGACTTAGCTAAGGAATCGGCTATTTCGTTTAGAAACAAACCTTTATGTCCAGGCACCCAAACTAATCGTACTTTTCTCAAATGCGCCCGTACTAGTGCACGGAACGCCTTTGTTACGTGATTATCAGCACCTACAGAAAGTACCGCACAGAGAAATAGAGAATCTGTTATTATGACAGCTGATGTAATTGCTGTATCTAACTTGCGTAAGGCGAGCACTACTGCCAGAAACTCAGCCACAAAAACGGGTATGAAATCGGGTAGTCGAAGGGAATAAATCCAATTTAAAATCGGCCTGAAAATACCAACCCCTGACTTTTCGTCATATTGCGATGCGTCTGTAGCAATAATAACGTTCGTTCTAATACGGCGCAGGTGATCTTGTAGTAAACCATCCAAAATATTATGGGGAAGTAATTCGGCATTATTAGGAAAAATGTCGTCGAATTGAATTTTCACCGGGGCTGAATTATCACGACTCGGCATGATGTCGCATATACGTACGTTTAGAGGCTCCAGTAAATTTTGCACAAATATAATTTGTGGGGTGTAAAATCGCGGCCATCTAGCAGCAAAAAATGATTCCGGGGTGGAAATAAAGGCTGTTTCTGAATGTCGTAATGGTGATTCATAAATTCTTAAAAATGTCTGAACAGTCAGAAGGCAAATTCTACAAGAAAGTGAAGGGACCCTCGATTTGAGATACAACACATTGTTGGCAACTGTTTTGGGAAGGCAAAGGCATAAGCGCAAAGCTTCTCTTTCCAGGAGAATTAGATGCCGCAACTTGTAAGCTGGAACTCCAGAGAAAAGTACACAACCACATTCCAAAATGGGACGAACGTACATGCTATATACCATTACCAATGTGTCTCTTCTCATACCTATGCGGTAGTTGCTTAGTCTACGTAATATGCCAATGGCCCGCACACCTTTTCCGGCGAAATATTCGATTTGAGGTCGCCAGTTAAGTGACGTGTGATAAATTACTCCAAGGTATTTAACAGATTTTACCTGTAGTATATCCTCATGATGGTAAGACAGAGAGATGTTCACAGGGTATTGCAGCGAGAGAACAAGGAGGGCTTATTTACTCGGATTAAGTAGAAAGCAGTTGCCATCGAGCCAGCTCTCCAATATATTAAGGTAAGTCTGCAGCCGTTCATATAAGGTCTGAATGTTATCTGCCATTGCAAAAAATTCGATATCGTCTGCATAAACATAAGTTGCTATATCCTGTTTACGTGGAATGGTGCTCATTAGTAAATTAAATAGCACCGGGGAAAGCACCGAGCCTTGCGGTACTCCCCTCGTTTGGGTATGAGTAGATGACGAAAACCCATCTTTAAAACAATAAAATTTCCTGTCTGCAAGAAAATTGTGAACCCACGCTACTATGTATGATAGAAAGTCAAGGTACTCTAATCGATCCATCAAAGTACAGTGCTCCACAGTATCATATGCTTTAGCGATGTCTAAGGTAACTAAAGCTGCATATTTTTTATGTAGCCGAGCTCATTGAAGCCGACTTTCTAAATCAACGTGTTCATCCCAAATTGAACAACCAGCCCTGAACCCAATTCGACAGGGACTTGGAATTGACCTCATGGTAATAATAGGTTCATTAATTCGTATATTGATGATTCTCTCAACCGATTTCACTAAGTTTGATGTCAGTGCGATCGGCCTTATATTATCCAACATGTATGCATCATTTTCTTTTTTAGCAACAATACAATTTTGGCAAGTTTCCATTCTGGAGGTATCCATGCGTTCCCTCACGAATAATTCACTAGTTCTAGCAAAAGATTAGGCGATTCCTGGAATAAACATTTCTACACAGAGTTCGTAATCCCAACTTGGTCCGGGAGCCGTCCTCGGTGAGCATAATAATGTGTGACTCAATTCAGCTAAAGAAACTTCTGGAAATTCATGCAAGTTTACCAGAATAGACCGAATAGCCAAAAAATTAGCAGTGAAGCGGCGTTCTAAACCTTGCGCTATGTCTTCTAGAGAGGTGTTCATTTCTTGCGGCGTCAAGACACATGACTGCAACGTTAGAGGTGCTGGTAGTACTTTTCTTGTCCGAAGATAAGCGAACAAAGCACGCTTATTTTTTTATTTATAAAGACAATCAAAATGTCTACTGTCGTATTCTTCTTTCGCGTGGTTCACTGTATGCTTAAATACACCAGCAAGGAATTGGTAGTCCTTCCAGTTTGTTGGGCTCTGATTATGAAGAAGTTTTTTCCAAGCGGCTTTTCGTCTTCTATAATCGCGCGTACACTCATCGTTACACCAATGAGAGGAGGATCGTTTATTCGATGAAATGGAAAATTCGGAATTTTTTATAGATTTCTCCAGGATTGAACCAATCGTGGATGCAATCTCCTTAGTACTGGCATTTCCAAGCTTGGAAGTGGCAGAACGGAGGCAGGCTTGAAGTTTGCTATGGTTGATGTATGTGCGTTTTGGCTGATCTAATTATTTATTGTTGGACAAGTAATGTCAAAAACTACAGGAAGATGGTCGCTGTTAGTCGCCGAATCCAGAACAGCCCATGACAAAACCTTGATTGCATTGGAGCAAAACGTTAAATCCAATACTGAGCTAGTTTGATCTCGGACAAATGTTACATGACCTGTATTCAGACAGGAGAGGTTGTGATCAATAGTCCATTCCCACAGTCGCCTACCAAAAGAATCTGTCCATATACCCCAAGACAAATGATGTGAATTAAAGTCTCCTGTGAGTACAATTTCATTTCTACATGCTACCAAAACGCTGTCAAGATAACGCGTACTTTGCACACCGGAGGGGAAGTAACAATTTACAATTGAAAAAGGGTGGTATCCGGGGAGACACAAGTCTAATGCTAATATTTCACAATCCAAGTCTAACATTCTGAAAGAAATTTTCGCCCTTTGGCATAATTTACTTGATACAAGGATCATTAAACCACCACCACGTGATGGGCGATCTAATCGAGAAGAACGAAAACCTGCAAGATGGAAATTTTTATCTGGTGTGAGCCAAGTTTCTTGGAGAATTATAATATCAAGATTAAAATTATTGCAAAAGTAATGTAAGTCTGTTGAGGCTGAGAATATAGAATGGCAGTTCCACTGTAGTACCCTCAACTGACCTATGGTGTTGAGCGCACCGCAGAGGCGCATGTCACGCCCTTTTTAGCATCTTCACGCGAAATAGCTGATTCATTCCGTTTAGATTTGGACTTGAGATCGGTGAAGATAGGGGATCTGGTACGTTTATTAGTTCGTATATCGAGTTCCATATCTGTAGCAGTACTTGTGCTCGGCTGAGGCGAATGTCGGTCCAAGTGCACCTGTGTTCCTGACTGCTTAGCCTTGCCTGCAGATGCAGAAAGTTCTTCCAACACTGCATTGCGTAGCTGTGTGGCATCGCTGGTAATGTCTAATACTGCAGGTTCTGTACTAGTCTGTACTGTTTGTCCAATCTGACTTGATAGAATTTGCACCAAACAGTCGG